GCCAGATATGTCTCTACCTAAACTCTCGACAATATCCACATCTTATATCATTCAATATATATTTCTATTAGACACTGGAATGTCTTACACTACAGTACGTCTTCCTCAAAAGGGGTAATGTGTCCTGACAGTTTTCCGCCTCTTGTAATAATGTGTATGTTTGGTGTCTACCTGACCGTTATTTTCATATACATATACATGTGTGTAAACACTTGTTTTGAACACAATTCCATCATGGCACTTATTATGGAAATTGTATGAAACGTAACTCTATGTAATTCAAAATCCCTACTTGCATATATGTTTTGCGAAGTCACATGCCAGACAGGGCATTTATGACATGATTCCATTAGAAGACTTTGGCTCAAGGCAGGTTTACCAAATCCTGCTAATGGAGTTTAATGACCCTTCTGCATTCTCCTAGCTGTCGGTGTCCACTTAAAGGTATTCTAACTGCAGTGTTTTAATGGGATTTATGATGGCTGTGCTTTGTGTCATGAGATGAATGTGTTTCAATCTGGTCTGTAACATATTTAAAATGGTCACCTCTCCGTCACAGACCTAAATCTGATCATTTTCCCCACTAAGTTGGGTTCATCAGACCTCATTATTGTCCTACTTGAGAGCTCTCCAAGAGTATGATGCCAGTGATCTTTCATCTCTTACTGTAAACTGTGAAAGTTCAAAAATTGTAATATTCACTATTGACAAAGGAATAATAATTGTCTAAAATATCACCTCACTCAGTGTGTTACTGAATTTCACAGTACATAGATGAAGGTCTTTAGTGTTGTATCCTTGGAGCAGTGCCATTTTAGTTAATATCATCAACATACGGATCCAAGAAGCTACTCATATAAGTAAATTAATACTGTGCTAAAGAGTGAATCTTGCAAGTGAAAAGAACTGGGCAGAAGGCAAAAGTCACAATGCACTTGTGATTTCCCAAGCAACATATCTTGGTATGCACATGTTTGGGCAAGAATGCTTAGCAATTGGGTGTCATGTAGATTCTAAGTTACATCCTCCTGGAAATATGCAATATAATTGAGAGACCTAAAGGAGCAAGGTAGTAAAGTTTGAATGAACTTACTATACCATCTCTTGGCGTTGCTAAAACATACTACATATTTTTAGGTTGCTGGGCTAAAAATGGAGATAAAAGGATAGAGTAACAGAAACATATACTAGAAGCAAGTTAGAGAAGGGTTGCTGCGGTTATTTATCCTGTCCTATGTTCCTGTTTTTATACAAACTATCACTCTTCTGTTTACTATACTTGTTTTAGGGTGACTGACTTTGCAGCAAGGTGCACAAGCTGTCGCAGGTCCAAGTATTTTCTATTTTTGCATAATTCTAAAAATAAAGTCAAAAGAAAAAGCCCAAAAACCTAGATTTATGCATGACCACTAGAGGGATTTAAATACTGAACCTTCATGCTAAAGTTCTTTTGTTGTTAGTGTGAGAGATTCCAAACTAAATCAAGTTTATTCTAGAATGTGTTCAACTTAGCCACTTTTTTTAAATGCTCAACACAAAGTAAACATACAAATAAATAAATGGAAAAACACCACAAAATTTAGGATAGGAACCAAATATTTTTTCAATAATCGATTATAATCGATTATGTCGATTAGTTGTTGCAGCCCTATATAACGTTATCTGGTTTACCATGGTTATTTTTTGCATTGCATTTGTGCCTGGCTATGAATGCATTTTAGATCAAATAAATATATTATCTGTAACGGTAATATAAAAGTAGAACCCCAGTCTAAACAAAAGCATTAATTTTCTAATTTCTTTATGGCTGCTGAAGAAGAGGAATGATCACACATATCTCCTAATTTATTTCCACTTCTTACATTTTTTACATGTTAATTCTGAATGACATTTGGAAATCATTTTGGATGTATGCGAATTTGTTATCCGAAAATTCGGATACGTTCAGATTAATTATTTCTTTCATTTGGAATGTCTGAATTTCCCAAAAGCTGTACAAATTTCAATTTGGTTGGAAACAAATCGCACATGTCTACATTTATAGGCTTATATGCATATTAAGTTATATATATTTATCTTTCATTCTCTGTTAAATAATGTAAAGTTGCTTGTGAAAGCCATTGATACAGCCTTCCATCTCAGAAAATAGACTTCATGTTGAATATCAATTAGATCAGACACAGAGGATAAAAAATCAGAAATGACCTTGATCAGCAAAGGAGAAATTCACTTACTGCCAACTATCGCAAGAGAATACGTGGAATTGTTTAGCATGCAATTTATTGTCTTTTCTTTTTTTCATGGCTTGTAAGCGTTCTAGAAAGACTGCAGTTAGTATTCTGTAATGACAAGAAAAGATTAGACTCCTAATTCCACTATTTGAATACTTTAGAATGTCATTGATAAAGATTATAGTTAATGCCTTTGTAAAATTCTTGGAGAGATACTGACAACAGTCATTTCAGAAATAGAGGCATGGTAGTAATGTTCTCATGTTCTCATTTATGAAAAGGTATATTCTGAGCATAAGAAGGAAATGCAGAGCACACAAGCATAGTAATCCTCTTTAATAAAAAAATCCAATGTTGCATTCACATATAAAAAACTTTTAGTGACTGGCATATAGACAGTATTTGAGCTGACTAACATGGTGCTACTAGATGACTTACTAAGCATGGGGCCACTTTTACATATGGACTATACTGCAATATCCATATATACAAATAACGAGCCTCAATCTCAGCAGACTTAGGCATCAGTGGTCTTCTAAACAGGGCACTTCAGGAGAGACTGCCATCCACAAGGCTATTGGGAACCACCTCATAGAACAGGCAAAAACAGAAACTCGTGCATAGCGAGGAAGGGGAGATTTCCCCTGAAACGCATCAGCTCTGCAGCCCTGTCTGGTTGTTGTGTACATACACCGCTTGATTTCCACATTTTATATGTGAGTAATTTTATGTTCTTTAACAATTGAATCTAAATAAATGGTAATGCACGAGGAGAAGGCGCTGTCTTCTGTTTTTGCATATCTATACTGTATATACAGTATAAAGTTTAAACAAGATGTAACCATTATCACAGCATCAATAAAAAAAAGTAAGGAACTATTTTAAAAAAATGACAAAAAGGATTAGTACAATGTCAATTAAAAAAATATTAAACATAATTAATTGCTTAAAAAAGATGAAAATGTAAATATGTATAAAAGACAAGCTTTCGAGAGTGAACCTCTCTTCTTCAGGTCAGAAGCAATACTGATCAATACTGACAAACTGTCATGCTATATATACTTTTTTTGAAGGAATGGTGGCATCCCCCTTTGGGGAATATTGTACTTTTTCTAAGAATTAGAATAGAGGAAAAATAGACGAAGTAGTAAAGATTAATGTGACACAAATAGCAGTATTTCTAGTCTAAATTTTAAGTCATTTAAGCATGTCCCAAACACTATCAGAAAATCAGAGGTACAAAAAATGATGCTATCAAGAAACTTCCATATACAGGTGAAACTCGAATAATTAGAATATCGTACAAAAGTTAATTTATAAAGCACCAAAACCTGGTTCAATGACCGTGGGATTACTGTGCTTGATTGGCCAGCAAACTCGCCTGACCTGAACCCCATAGAGAATCTATGGGGCATTGCCAAGAGAAAGATGTAAGACATGAGACCGAACAATGCAGAAGAGCTGAAGGCCGCTATTGAAGCATGCTGGTCTTCCATAACACCTCAGCAGTGCCACAGGCTGATAGCTTCCCTGCCACGCATGGCATTAAGGCAGTAATTGCTGCAAAAGGGGCCCAAACCAAGTACTGAGTACATATGCATGCTTATACTTTTCAGAGGTCCAATATTGTTCTATGTACAATCCTTGTTTTATTGATTGCATGTAATATTCTAATTTTCTGAGATTGTGGATTTGGGGTTTTCATGAGCTGTAAGCCATAATCATCACAATGATGACAAATCACGGCTTGAACTATCTTGCTTTGCATGTAATGAGTCTATCTCATATATTAGTTTCACCTTTTAAGTTGCATTAGTGAAATAAATGAACTTTTGCATGATATTCTAATCATTCGAGTTTCACCTGTACAACTTCTGTCATCTAATGACTTAGATGAAGAATTGGAAAAAGAAGCCAGAAGTTCTTTTTGTTTTAGCTTTGGATAGAGTGTAGAAGGGATAGAGGGAAAATCTTCCAATGGGTATACATGTTGCATTGACAACTGTCTTAAAGAGGATTTTCTTCAGTTTTAAGAGATTTTCTTTTGCTTGGGTGACCCTGTTGGGTCATAGTGCAAAGAACACTGGTGTAGAAAAACCCAAAGCAACCAAACAGAAAACATCCTTCAGTTGAATGTACACACCAAGTGTGACTTCTTACTGGTTGCCTCAAAAAGCTTATTTAGACAATGTTGGTGATGAAATATACCAGGCAGATGACTAAATATTAAATTGACCATTCAGATACCAAGAAAGTTATCCAAATGGGGCAGCAATAATCATGTGCTCTGTGTAATAGACTTTGGAGGAACCCCCTCCCCCCCCCTTCTTTTTATTACTCAGGAAATTACTCAATAAATCCTTTCTCTTGGAAAAAAAAATCTAACCACAGCCAATGCCTCTGCATTCCATAAAAAATATTTTAATTGCATAATGACTAAACTGTGTGTTTATACAAATGTTGGTAACATAATTTGAGTCTTAATTTTCTAGTTCAGACCCATACTGTTTATAAACTTTAGATATTCCAGGCATGGAGTATATGAATGACTGTAGAAATCCAAGAAAAATAACTACAACAGTCTACAAGATATGTGTTTCCAGCCAGATGTCATACGGTACAAGTTAATTACTGGCAGCATTCATTTGAATGGCCTGAAGTAACCTTTCACAAAAAGAGGTCACCACTGAAAAGATTATTCAGTCCTGTGCCTCCCCTTCATTCTCCCCTACTTAATGTTGTTTCTCACTATTGCTTCTGCTCTTCTAGGTACAGTGAGCAAGGGATCTGCCCTATCAAGATGGGTTTACTTAACTTCCTACAACAGCGCTTTGGATTCTCCTGCTTGGTCCTTGTACTGCTTGTTGTTGTACTTATATGCCCCGGTGAGTAGTAGAGTATTTTACTTTACAATGTCATTGCGTCTTTTGCCCTATATAGAGTTTCCTATGATGTACACCTGCACAGAAGACCATGTGTACAAATATCAGCAGGCTTCAAAAGCATTTATTACCCAGAAGGTTATTATTAGGTATAATTTATATTAATGGGGACAATACAAGAGAATGGTTGAGAAGATTCTGTAGAATACTGCCCATTACTCTATGATTTGTTAGAGAGAAACCTGCGTGAGAAGGCTTTGATCAATGCAGCTATCCGATGGCTCACAGACCATACAGGGCAGTGCAATGGCTTTTCTTACAGTGAAGATGGGTAGGTTTGGCTTTACAGCTTGAAAAAGTTGTGCCATGGGAGCCAAGGGATGGATAATTCTATTAAAACCTTCTCACAAAGGTGTCTTGCTTTGAAAAGGTTATTAGGTACCTCGGCTTATATTCGGGACGGCTTATACTCGAGTATATACGGTAATATTATTGTTATACATGATTTATATGGTGCCAACAATTGCGCAGCGCTTTACAATATAAAGGACGACATTTCTATTACAGTACCATTCAAGACAAGATGGTTAGGACGGCCATGCCTGTGTAATTACCAAATAAATGGTTTATTGCGATTAGTAGTTTTTTTTATATATCAGGTTCTTACACAATGCTGCAAAAAAGCATTTTAACTGCAGTTATGTAACAACAATAAAAATCTCCTAACTCTTTGGAGGTTTATGTTATAGAAAAGGTCTATGTCAGGCCAAAAATACTTTTATAACATTTACCCAAAATATTTAATGATGCAAGCCAAACATCTTTACTATTCTAACCAGTGGCATAACAATCGCCATAGCGACCCAGGCGGCCGATACGGGGCCCGGGCATAGGGGGGCCCGGCCAAGGCATCCCTCTGATGCCGTGTGGGCCGTCTGGGTCGCTATGGCATGTAAGGGTGCTGGCTGTCACTGACACAGCTCAGCAGCGGCTGTGAAGATCACTGATTTCCCCTCACAGCTGCTGCTGATGAACTGTGTCAGTGACAGCCAGCAGCTGCGGCAGAAGAGGCCGGCGTTCACAGTGAAGGAGGAGGCGGGGCCGCCTAAGAACAACCCCGCCTCCTCTTACATCACTGGCCGGCGACCTAAGAGCAGGCGGGGCCCGTCGATAGAAGGGGAGGCACTTGCTCCAATGTTCTAATTCAAAAATGGTTCTAAAACATAGACCATTACCAGAGTGGTGTAAATACAGTAGTGAGGAGGGGTGACAGCAATGATCAGCACTACAACAAGGAGAGGAAAAGAGAGTGGGGCATATGTATAGATGGCCAGCCCTGCAACAAGGAGAGGAGTGGGGCATATGTATGGACGGCCAGCGATGCAGGAAAGAGAGGAGTGGCGCATCAATGCAGGAAGGATAGGAGTGGGGCATATGTATCGACGGCCAGCAATGCAGGAAGGCGAGGAGTGGGGCATATGTATGGACGGCCAGCGATGCAGGAAGGAGAGGAGTGGGGCATATCTATAGACGGATAGCAATGCAGGAAGGAGAGGAGTGGGGCATATGTATAGACGGATAGCAATGCAGGAAGGAGAGGAGTGGGGCATATGTATGGACAGCCAGCAACGCAGGAAGGAGAGGAGTGGGGCATATGTATAGACGGCCAGTGATGCAGGAAGGAGAGGAGTGGGACATATGTATAGATGGCCAGCCCTGCAACAAGGAAAGAATGGGACATATGTATGGACAGTCAGCAATGCAGAAAGTAGAGGAGAAGAACAAAACTGTGGGAGATACCAGTGGAAGAGAAGTCCACTGGAGATCTTTTATTACGTTAACAGCGAGGGTGGTTGCCGTTAACTAGCAATGCAACAGATTTGCTATGATGGTTGTGTTACTACCCTGACTACTCATTGTTCCCTCTTCTGTGGAGTGAAGTTGAGAAGCCTTGCAGGGCACATGAGTGCGGTTAGGCAGTTTCACGGACTTTGAATACCACAACATACCCTATCTAGCATTTTAGTGACTTTTGTTTGTAGTTGCCCATGTGTATGGATCTTTGAGTTGTGTCAGAAGGAGTCCCATTTTGCAGCCCAGTGCTTACTGCATATATTTTGCTTTCTTACATGCTGTAATAAAAGAAAATATGTGATAGATGCACCTTTTATCATTTTGTGCTGACTGTGTCCAATGGGGAGATTTTCCATGAGTTCCTGTCTGAGGGACAAAACTGGAAGTACGGGGAAATTTCTCCAAAGTGAGGGAAATCCCTTCCTGACAAATAGAACCAAAGCAAATTGGAGATTTCAATTGGGAGATTTCCTTTAACCTCCTCTTTCAGTGACAACTGTAAATTTTGGATTCGCATTCTGTCCCAGTGACCATGGTCTACATTTTGTAGAATGTCCCAGGGGACATGTCACCACCATATACTGTAGCTTTATCATGGCTGTTGTAGTTGGGCAGAACTGGGAATTCTGGGGGACATGTCTGTCCTGAGAGATATGAGAAACAATCATGTGGTTGAATGTACCAGTGAGCAGATCAGTTTTTGCTTTGCTCTTATAATTACCCTGAAAACAAATGGCTACATATTTAGGATTCTCCTATATTTGTATTTTTCCATATATATAGTTTTATATTTCATAACATCCTTTTATTTCTAGATGTTTCCAGTGGGAATAAACTTCGAATGATGCTACAGAAACGAGAAGGTATGTGAGAAGTAAACAAGGATGTAAAAAAGATAAACATATGCATTCATTTAAGAAGGGAAACGCAGAGAGAGAGCTGACTGAAGGCATTGTCTATGCCAGATCCCTTTGGATTTTCTATCATAATTTTTTAGCCTCATATTGGGTACTCAGAGTGGTGGAAATATTCAGGACACTATGTATATTTTATTTAGACTCTCATGAGCTACAAAATATAGTTATGACCCTTCTTGTCTCCTCATTAAGCACTGTTATGTGTGACTAAGACTAGGAATTAAACATGTAATTCACCCATAATGTCCTTGTGATTAGGGATCTTCCTTTTCATTATCAAACGTATGAAATAACCATGAAAATGCTGACAGCAGGTGTAGGTATATTTTCCATTCTTACTTTTTGTCATATAATTTTCCATCTTTGTACCCCTTTTTCACCCCAGCAACTTCCCACTTTTTTTTTTTTATTTCTAAATATTTTCTTTTATCTTCCTATATCTGTTTTTTTCTTTAATTTATCTTCACACAAGTTGGAAGGAAGTCCTTTTTGCCTTGCAGTACTTATGTCCTGACTTTACTTCCAACTAAAGGCCATTGAGTTTGTATGTTTTTTTTTTCTCTGCACAGATTCCCTTTCCTCTGGTTTTCTGATGCTACCCAAAAATATTTTATCAGGTTAATTTGCACATGACTAAAACGGCCCTAGTCTGAAATTCTGACTTTGGATAGTCTATAGCCTGAGGTAAAAAGAATTTGGGCGCTGAGCTAGCAAACCATCCCCGTAAGCATGACATGTTGTAGACAAACAGTACAATTGATGCCAATGTGCGTAGTAGGACAGAATGACCCAAGTCACCAAGAAGTATTCACTCTCGTTTATTAAGAACAATATATCTTGTTTTTCTTACCAACTTTACCCTTGAAAGAGGGAAAGCAAAATCATCTGGATGACCCCAAAAGTTAATGGTCATCCCCTCTTCATATACTTGTACTTCTTTATCTACTCAAAACAAGCCACTCAAGTGACTGCTACCTGCTCATCACAACACCACAATGGAGCATCATCTGAACTTCTCTTTTGTCACCGCTCTGTCTATACTTCTTTTGATTAAAAACTGATTATACATATCTACGATCTCTTCTAATTCTTCTCTATTTAGCTGCATCAAAGGAACCAGCTAAGACAGTTGTGGCTGTTGAAGGAAGCAGAGCCAATGAGTTTTTAAACACATTAAAACGTTCCAAACGCCAGCTTTGGGACCGCTCTCGCCCTGAAGTGCAGCAGTGGTACCAACAATTCCTCTACTTGGGCTTTGATGAAACTGTAAGTAGTGTCAAGTATTGTCCTTCAAACTGGTTTCAAAGTTGGTGTCATGTTACTTACAAAAAAAAAAGTTGAACCAAAATAAGTATTATGTAAGAACAATTCCAGAAAACAAGTAAAATCAATCAGTGACAATGAAGTGCCAATGTCATTCAGCAAAAAATGGAACAGCGGTTTAAGAAAACCTGTCATAAAATATTGGGACTGCAATCATCGACTTTCTACTGAAAATGCTACCTTACTAGTTATGCTGATGGTCAGTGACAATACTTTCTTTGTCACTGACCTAGCAGGATTATGCAAATCAATAAGTCATAGAAAATTCAGAAGTGGTCATCTGCATATATGTTCCTGGTTAGAACTTCACATTTTTGAAGAGGGTCAGTACAGCAGTCAGTTAATTAACATTTTCAAAATGCTAGCTCAGCAAATTACAGCCATCATGGTTTCTGTTGACAGATGATTTTCATGACGTTAGATTTAGATACACTTTAAGCTTAACGTCAAGGACTTCCCAACTCTTAATAGTCAGGAAGAAATGTCAGATCTTCATCTCCCTCTGCTGGCTCAGGAAAATCAGTGTAAAAGGCTTACTGTATAACGAATGCTTGACTGTGCACCTAAAAGAAAAAAGCTTGTTGACACAATGTCCGATGAGCTGCAGTTTTCTGCATACTACTCCACATGTATGGTGTTAAACAATTGTATTTTATGTGCATTGTTCTCACCATAGTGTGCAGAATAGTGCACCATAGTGTGCACCATAGTGTGCACCATAGTGTGCAGAAAAACACAGCTCAATGGATATGGTGTAAAGAAGCTCTAAAGCTGAAGTAGATTGCACATACTGTACACAATACCTCTCTCCCCCGCTAATCAACATTAATTAAAAATAATTTATTTCAAGCAGAAATACCTGTTTTGAGACCCAGTGATATCATCACTGGGACTTTCTGCTGCTCTCTGTCCCGAACTTGTTGATGGCGGGCCAGCAGGCTCCTGTAAACATCACAGCATTCTGCCTCCGATCTTTTTTTAAAAGCATTATATGACAGAACCCATCACTGAACAAGTGATGGATGTCGTTCAGATAGAAAATTAAAGGGGAGGGGGGGCTCGAGCTTGATTTTGTAACTTTAAAAGGTTATAATAATATGGGAATGCAAGATTACAGGGAATTGAAAGTAATTCATTTTCAAGGTGAAGACTTGCAACAATTGTAAGGAAAACTAGTAAGGATGGAGTTCAGCTGTAAGGCAATACATGATTAGGTTGTTATAACAAAAACAGAGACAGGTAGTGTATAATGCTCGTATACAAAGCGAGGGGGAGAGTTGGAGTGGGAAAAAAAGAAGTCAATGGGCTGTGATACTTAGATGGAAGGGATTAAAAATTATAGATAAAAAAGGTGGAGCCAAAAAGGATTTACATGTTCCATTTCTTAAAGACCATGCAGCTTTTAGTGAAGCAACTAAAGGCCAATATTGATGGGCTATCCTGGGATCTAATGTAGAGCTTTTCTGCGACTTACATTGAGACAGCAGGTAATGAGAAACCACATCACTAAGCCCAGGATTCAGCTGTACTACATCAGACATATCATGAAAATATGGACTATGTTTA